AAGAGAGGGGGGGGGGGGGGGGGGGGGGGGGCCTGGATTCAGCGATGACATTAAAAAACACTAAGACGTAGAAGGGCGTCAAAAGAACAATCGCATAGGCAAGGTACGAGTAGTAAATCATGGCGTACAACATCAGCCAGTAGTATTATGCTACTTTAAGATTGACCTCTATCCTCTATAATTATCAGATTATGAAGATTAGAAAAAAATAATAATAATAATAAATCAAATCAAATCAAAATGATCAGGTGTAGACTATTAAAAAATAAAAAAATTAAAATAAATTTCAATCGAGCTCAGTAATTAGTAGAAATGAAAAGCACAAAAAATTTAAAATAAATAAGCAATAATTAAACAGATGTAGGCATACACTATAAATTAATTAGATACCTATCGGCAAAGGATCAGGCTGAGAGAGAATCTGGAGAAGAACTTATAAATGGAATTTCACGGATTTGAAATTGGAATATGAGTAAGAGTGTAAGTAGAAAATAAAATATATTAATTAAAGAAATAGTATTAAGGAAGTCGCGTGTAGCTCAGGAAATGGATTGGCCCAAATATGATTGAAAGCCCGTTTGGCGGGCATTTTATTTTTTTATTGTGGTAATTACACAAAACCATAGAGTTAAAATCATAAATTTTAAAATCAGATGGCTACTTTCATCTTTCAAAATCAGAAATATTATAGTTAAATATTAATATTAAATATACATTTTTTATTCCAAACCCTACCACTCTCTCTCCATTTTCTCCCAGATCGCTTACCTAAGCCGCACGCTTCGTCTCTTCAACTTCTCTCCTACGTTGCACAGCAATCATTCACAGCGTCGTCACCACTCAAAGCGTCGCTGGGCAGAAGAAGCATGAATCGCCGTCGCCGTTCCCGAAGACCAAAGCAGAGCTCGTGTCTGTGAGCAGCGTGCGACGCTCACCTGGGACCGTGGGATGCCTCCGAGCTTCACTTGCAGCTGGGCGTGATGCATTCGATGTCGATGTTTCTCCATGGGTGCTGCAGATCTTTTTTATGCAGTGAGTGGTGGTGCGATGTTGTGGTTGTGTGCGGTGACCGGTGGCTGAGTATGGTGCGATGAGTGGTTGTGTACGGTGATTGTGCAGTGTTGTATACGATGGTGTTGGCAGCGTCATGGTGGATCTGGTGGGTGCGCAGGTGCAGTGGTATTGGAGTGGTGACTGACGGTGAGGGTCGTGGCAGGGGTAATGGTGAGATGTTGGTGGTTGCAGGTTGTGGTGGTGGTGGCAGCGAGGTGGTGGCTTCTGTTGCTTGATGATGATGTTGGTCGTGGTCATGGTGGTAGGGCGATGATTTTGGGTGGTTGCGATTTGTTCATTTTTGTTAGATCTGGCGGCAGAGTGGGTTTCGACGACAATAGAGGAGATGGTGCTGCTACCGTAGCAGCGACGTTGGCTACGCTGAAAACTGTGACTGTGACTCCCAACTGTGACTCGAAATTGGATATGTGACCTAAAAATTGTGATTGTGACTCCCAATTGTAACTCACAATTTGGGAGTCACGATTGGTCGTGGTGGTCGTGGCAATTTGGTTGATTTGTGACTCACAATTAAATACGTGACATGAAAATTGTGACTGTGACTCACAATTGGATACATGACCTAAAAATTGTGATTGTGAATCGTAAGTATTGGTGGTGGTCACAAATTATTTGCTTGATCGTGACCATTAAATTGGTTAATCTGTGACTAATGAAAAAATAAATTGTGACCAAAAAATAATGTGTGACCTAATAAATTGTTAATCTGTGACCGATAATTTGATAATTTGTGATTTGATGAACAAACTGTGACTTATAAAATTTTTGAATTGTGACCGTAAAATAATTTGTGACATAAAATTTTTTATCTGTGATAAAAAAATAATAAGTAACAAATTAAATCGTTAATTTATGATCAAATTATATAAATCTGTGACATAAATATATTTAATTACTAAAATAATTAATTAATTAATTAAATTATAAATGATTTTTTAATAAAAATCTGGTTTTTGAAATTTAAAAGTTGTTTTCTTGTTTTTTAAATGTAGCATAATTAATCTCTCACTTATGAAATTTTCCCTTTTTTATTTTGCTTTTACTTTTATTTTTCTCTCTTATTTTTTATTTTATTTTTATGTGACGTTATCTTAGGCAATTTTCTCTAAACATTCTTCTAATCAGACAAGAAAGCTTTCAAAAAATTATTCGAATATGTTCAGAATTAATTTTTGAGTCTCATAAACAATTTTTAACTTTTCAAAGCACGTAAAAGGAAAATTTATTACAAATTGGTGTGATGCTAACCCAACTTTACTACTAAACTTTGAAATCATTGCTCTCTCACTTGATTTGGAAAAGTATTGCATTTTGAATTTGATTTTTCCAAACTGAATCCCAAGTTTTCATTCATGTATTTCTGATATTGTTTTCACTAAGTGAGATTTCTCCCTTTTCTTTCTTTCTTTCTTTTTTTTTTTTTGGTGGTGGTATAAACATTTGACGTTTTAAAAGAGATGCACACGATATTTTATTATTAAAATTTCGTTTGTAACCTAATTTTAAGTAGTTGTGACTTTGTTTAAAGTAATTGATCCCCTTCTCTTTCCTCTTTGTGACCTTGTTTCAAGTAGTTGTGACTTTATGTTCTTTTTTTAGCCTTGTTTCAAGCGGTTGTGAATGTTTTTTCAATGGTCGTGACTTCGAGAAATTGTGACGTATTAGATATTTGACATTTTTAAACATATGAATGTGACTTAGTATGTGTTTGAGCCACATTATTTTGAAAGAATGTATTTTGAAATGGTAGATTGATGGAGAATATATGATTAAAAATAAGGAAAAGTTTTAAATTTGCATGCAATATTATCATATTGAATAATGTATTGTTGAAATGATATCAAATCACCATTTAAGAATGTATTTTTCTAAAAGAATGCGACCCAAATAAGATCTTAGTATTTTTGTTTGTGTACTTATTTTTCTTTAAGACGATTGAACCCATACAGGTTATGTAGCCTGATTTTGTCGTCCGGGCAAACCTTAGGAAGGCACACGAAACAGCACTGGTAAGCAGAATTAATCCATTATTTAACAAATTTCAATGTAAGTGATCCTTCATTCTTTTTGTTTTATATGAGGGCTAGAAATGGTAAACAGATTGAATATCAGCGATTAAGCCTGGTCAACTTATCAACTTTCCTGGGGGCAAACTCATCAAATATTTTAACATTAAAGCTCAGAAGATGATCAGAAGGAACACTTTTAACGGTTTAGGTACCCGTCGACATTGCCTAAACTACTTCTTTCTCAGTTTGGGCACTTCTCTCCATCCGTTGACTCGGTGGAAGGCTACAGGACTCAAGTCTTTAGAGAAGAATCAAGTCAAAATATTTATTTAAAAATATTTATATATATATATACTCACACATAAACAGCATTCTGTGGAAGAAAAACTTCAAACAAATAAAGATAATAGAGGATTGCGAGGCAGGAATAGGCTCCGAGCATTGAATTTGAGGACGATATACCAAAAATCTGAGAACCAATTACATGGCATAATCACTTATTGAAAATAATAGAACCCAACTGAACTATCAAATGATACAGATATATGTATAAAGAAACAGAGAACTTGAATTCGTACCGACTCTTAATCTTATCTACTTTCAAGATACATCAAACAGGTAGTTTATACATCGACCTCTCATAGCCCTTCAGACCAAAAACAGACTTTCCGACTTTTAAGTATCCAAATATGTGATATTGCCCACAAAATTTCTCGGGAAGTAATACAATCAATATTTATCAACAATTAGCCGGATCTTCCTATCTAAACAAACAACTTCAGATGAAATATTCTTTTCTACCATTGTCAATGTAAAGGATTGATTTTTTATTTCATGTACTCCACTACACTCTGACTGATCTCATCGAGGAAGGAAACGAATCCCAACACACTTGTGAAACCACTTCCCTCAACGTCTTGTTCCTCTATAAGATAGTTCTCAAATGCCGTTGCATCATCCTGCCCTCCCCTAATAAATATGATTCGAGGAGTGATACTTCGCTCTTGCTTCAGTTTGTTAATGGTATTTCTCAATAAACCTGGGTTGGAAAGAAAGCGAGAAATTACCAGTTAGCAAATATGGAACAATCAATCCTAGAGCATTGTTTTCCTAAGCTTAAAAAGTTCACTTGTATGCATTACTTACAGGTAAATCAGCAAGTTTTTCAAAATAAAGAATATTTCTTATTGGTGAAAGTTATTTGCTAAGAGTTGCTTATTAAAATGACTAACACGTTTTACTTAAAAACAAAAGTAGCTTTTTTAAAGAATAGCCAAACATGTTAGTCTTCTAAATTATCGCATTTCTGTGGAGAGTAGGAAAAATGAGAGAAGGTAGCTTACAGTTCTGTGGTGGAGGAAAGGGAAGTGCAGGGTCGGCTGTGGATGAATAATACACAATGAGACTTGTAAACGCATCCAGGAAAAATATCGAGCTACCACTTGTGATTAATGCAGCGCGACTCAACGAATGACGAGGAAATGCTTGTTTATCTGGAGTGGAGTATGAGGTCAACAATGGATATACAGCACGGTTAAGCGAAGAAGGTTCCAGAGCGCTGCATCATAAATTAGGATATCAAATTCTAAAATTATGGATATAACCTTAAAAAATCAATTAAAATTGTGACTTGTGATTCAAATGCGTTTAATTAAAAGTTGTACAGATCAAACACTAAAGAATATACAATAATTATTTTCAACTAAGCCCCCGTTTGAGCCCCATTCTTTTACATTCTTTTCCAGTACTCATTTTCAAACATATATTCTTTATTAAAATAATATTATACACAAATAAAAAATTTTCCTTCTTTTTTTAACCATACATTCTCCATCAATCACTATTCCATAATACATTACTTCAAATTAATGGAGCTTAAACGGGGCCTATATTTTAGTGGCACTAGACAAAAGAGAACTCTAGAAAGAAAATAAAGTCGAAACTGTCGACTAAAACAAGAATAACCATCATTTAATAATAATATACCAATAGAGGAATTTATCATGTAGGTTAAACACATGCACAGAGAGAACAGCTAAATAAAAATATCTAATTGCCACTGTCTTAAATCTTTATTCATATATAACATGATAAACTGGAAAATGTAGCACATTTCTCGTTTCAGTAGAACGGTAACGGAATCCTTCTTCTTTTAGTTTATTTCTTTCTATTCTGAAAAGTCCGCACTATCAAATATTAAAAAAATTATCATGTTTAAAATCTCTCCATTTAATCTCAACATTCTCATATTTCATGGGTCTAATTTCTAAAATGGAAGTCTTTGCTTGCTGAATCTTGCTACATGTACATCAGTGGTTACATAATATCACATGGCACTCGACTATTTGTCTGTTTAAAACACAATCAATTTTTTCATTCATTCTTATTCCTCCACATCATATTATGTAACCCCTTATATACAATTTTGATGTACAAGTAGCAAAATCCTTGCTTCTT